TTGTTTTTGCCTGGCATGGGTTATCACATCATGTAGTATTTTTTTGAGAGCAGAGCACTCTTTAAATTACATCAAAAATTCCATTAGCATCATCACCTAAGAAAATATAGGGAAAAGTTAATAAGCTCCTCTTCTATATTTCATGCACACTGAATTTTCCCTTAGCATTTATTTCAAAGATGATTTGGCTTATAAATCCATTTACTGTTTATACCTGTAACATGTTCTAGATGTAATTTTTTTCTAGGGGACATCTACATCATTAGATGAACAAATAATTGGATAATCAAGTAAATCTAGCAAAGCCTTAACATTTTTTTTAAGTAGAAAACACTTAAAATTTCATTGTCATCAAGGTATAAATATGAACCTGAAACTATCTGCAGTGAACTTTAAGTTTTCTGGGGACAAATCAACAATTTGTGGATTAACTATACCCCTGATAGCCTCTCTCCCCTGTACTCCTAAATAGTCTATGTTCTCACTTGCCTTAGCATTTTTGTATATGTTTAAGTGCCTTTTCTCTAACCCTCTTTTTCTAGGTAGCTTGTACTCGTATTGCAAATATCAGTTCAACTATCAATTCACCAAAACTCCAGAAAATCATAGATACCTCTATGTACCTCGAGCTTGCGTTATTACTTTGTAATTTTACATTGGTATGTTGTAGTCATTTGATTAATGACTGTCTTTTCAACTGCAAACTCCATGAACATATGGACAGTTATTTTTTTCACTGTTGTATCCCTCGTGACTGAAGTACAGGAGGATGCTTAATCAGTAGTTTTGAGTAAATTATCTTATTTTTAAAAGATAGGGCATTTCAGAAAATCTACAATTCATATAACTTAGTGAAATGTCTCCTGTTTTTCAGAGTCCTGTAAGGATTAGAATAGGCCTGTCCCATTAGTAAAGGCTCCATTTCTGAGTAAATCTCTGATCAGTGGCACTGAAAAGGGAAAGACTGAGAAGTGCACTGCTGTGCTTTGAGAGGGAGATCTAAGGGAAGTAGGGATGGGAGATTTTTTAAAAAATGAAGCTTTGACTCTGCATCTGTCCAGTTCTGGTCCACTGTATTTGAAGGAAGAGGAGAAAAGGATGAGTTCAGGAAAACAATACAAAGAAATACTAACAGACTAATTTAATAGATAACAAGCTACAAGCTATTTTTTTTTAATTTAGATTCAAGTTAGGTAACATACAGTTTAGTGTTGGTTTCATGAGTAGAATGTATCGATTCATAACTTACATATAACATCCAGTGCTCATCCCAACAAGTGCCCTCCTTAATACCCATCACTCATTTAGCCCAGCCCCCCACCTGTTCCCCTCCAGAAAACTTCTGTTGGTTCTCTGTATCTAAGAATCTCTTATGGTTTGCCTCCCTCTTTTTTTCTTTTTTTTTATTCCCTTCCCCTATGCTCATCTGTTAAATTCCACACATGAGTGAAATCATATGGTATATGTCTTCTTCTGACTGTTTTACTAAGCGTAATACACTCTGGTTCCATCTGCATGGTGCAAATAGCAAGCTTTCATTCTTGTTGATTGCCAAGTAATATTCCATTGTGTGGATGTATGTGTGTATGTATATGTATATGTATATGTATATGTATATGTATATGTATATGTAAGTGTGTGTGTATATATATATATATATATATATATATATATATATACACACACACACACCACATTTTCTTTATCCATTCATCAGTCCAAGCTATTTTTTATTCAAAGAATTAATAGTGTTCCTAAGAATGTGCTTGATGGTTTTAATGTTCCTAAGTTGTTTCATTTGAATCTAAATATATCTAAGTAATGCATGACATTTTATTGATAAATATGTTAAGAAAATAATCTAGTGAATACTGCTTTGCCACATTTTGACAACTTTTTTCAGTTTTCTTGAGTTCTACTTTACTAATTTTCCTGGTGTTTTTCTGGACATACCTCTTCTCTCACCTTTATCACAGTCAGTCAGCAATCAACTATATTGTAACCAAGAGCAATGAAAAACTGATGAGGACAAGAACTGGTTTGACATAAGTGAAACTTCCCTTGGGAATTTTCTTTTCCTTTTTTATCTTTTTGCAATGTCAGAATATTCAATTACATCTTGATAAGAAATTATAGGATGTTCTAATTGGCACAATTACTTACATTATTATTACCAAATATTTCATTCTTGTGAAAGAAATTGGAGTTTAGAATTAGAATCATGTTATTTTACAACTTCAGCCTATAATGTGGAGCATATAAACATATAGCCTTATGTAGTAATGACTGAATTTTGAGAGCTATTATATTCGACCAAAAAATGCACAGATCATAAGTGTATAACTCAATGACTTTTTACAAAATGAACACACTCAGGTAACCAACACTGAAATCAGGAAACAGCATGACCCATATCCTAGAAATCTTGATGGTGCTACCCATCCTTTGAAAGAAAACCACAATCTACATCTGCGATACGACAGATTACTATAATGTTATCTCTTCTGATTTATGTCATTGATGCTGAGACTCAGCCATGTTGACGTATGTAGTTATGGTTCATTCATTTTCATGGTCTAATAGTATTTCCTTAAGTGAGTGTTCCACTACTTATTTATTGTGATGGACATTAAGTTGTTTGTATAGTTTAGCTCTTATGGACAGTGCTGCTACACACGTTTTTGTAAATGTCTTTGATGAGCATAGGCATACATCTCTGTAAGGTTTATACTTACAAATGGAATTCTTGGGTCATAGATTATGCTTATGTCCTGCCTCAGTGGATACTTCTAGTTTTCCAGAATGGTTGTACTAATCATCATGAGTTCCAGTTCCTCCCACATCCTCAGCAGGGCTTGGAATTGTCTATCTCATTTATTCTAAAGTTATCTACAAATGGTCTGTGGCATGTAATTTAGTTTAACTTTCAATAAATAACTTTCCTATATTTATGAAAATAATTTGTTTCACATGTATATATCTGTTACCCTGGCATGGGTTTACATTCTAGAGAGCAGAGACCATGTATTAGATACTTTGCTATCCTTGAGTGAACCTAACATGGCAAACATTCAATGAACTTTTGTTAAGATGAATCTTAACTCTCTGTACTGATCCATTAAAAAAATAGATAAAGAGAGAAGAAACAGTTGAAGAGGAACAATACAAATGTGCTTTATTGAGAGAGACAGAAATTAAAGAGAGCAGCCATCTTAAATTTTGCTAAATTTTATTTTCCATTTACGTATTCATCCCCTCAACTTTATGTTAGTGCTGGAAAAAAGTCACTGGTTCCTGCTGTCTACACCTCTTAGTTAATTGCTTCTTTTTTCCACTCTACATTGTAAAAAGATAATTAAAAATTCTATTTTCCCTGATGGTGAGCCCAACTACATTTCTTCAGGAAGGTGATTTGGTTTTGACATAAGCAAACTAATTATTTCTTTCTTCACCCATTCATACCATAAGTGAAAAGAAATGACAAGTCAATATCTGTCTCTTCCTTACTCTTTCAACAGGTACAAACAGCAAGTGTGCCTAAAAGATGTATTTATATGTCTAAGGGCATAAAGAAAGTCCAGTTCCAACTTCCTTTTACCGAACTGCTTTCAAAATAAGCAAATAAACATAAGCAAGAATAAGAACTGACCTAATGCCTTGATGGAATTTAATAGTAACGGTTCTTACTTCCCTGAAAATAAGAGATTTCTATAGAAATGATAATCAACCTCCTGTGAGTGTATGGAGCTCATAAAACCTGAAGAGTTTCTAAAGGTCAGCAAGCATTGAAAGTTTTGTCCTGAGGATAAATTTCTAAATAACCCTGAGGAGAAAGAGAGGGAGGGAAAGAAAAAAGTTCAACTTGAAAGTAAAATGTGCAAACTTAACAGTTTTTGGATTATCATTTAATTACAGCCATCAATCACCTCACATCTGCTTTCTCCCAGTACTCAAGAAATTCAGGCTAAAGCCACAGAATCTGACCAACAGAGAATATATAGCCCATTAAGAATCCAAAGGATAGGAAGCAATATTTGAGGAATTACCCTGTAGGAGATCTTAGGAAATTACCTAGAAGCACGGTAGTGGAATCCATCTTTTAAAAAATACTAGGAAAACTTAAGAGTAAAACTGTCCTTTTAATTAATACGATAAACACTATTGCTTCCTCTTATGTACTAGTTTAGAGATTTTTCAGTAAGTGATCATGTTCAAAGAGCTTTACTTGCCAAATCATTTTATTTTAATCCATATTTTTACTAATGCGTGCAACTGGCCTGCAGTAAATACTTTTATGAACATGATTTTATATTCTTTTAAAATGAGGACATTTGAAGTTGAGCTTTTAGAAATACATTTGCTCCATTAATTGGTGCTAGAGGATGCCAGCAAATGTCTTTATGGACAGCTGTTATTTTTCAGGTTTAAAGTGTTTTAATTTCTTCTTATTGAGGGGTTCATACTGACTGTTCCTAAATTCTGTATTGAAAGAATTAAATGGCTTTAGGCTTTTTAAGCTCCAATGTGTTCAGAAAAGTGTTTCAACCATGGTAATCCTCTTGTCCTGCTGTATTTATCTCCCACCAGATACCTAAATGCTTCTCTCCTCTTCTCAGGCAGATAATTGCAGAGAGGTTGGAACCAGAGAGAAGAGTTGAGCTGGTGCTGAGCTGTGGATATAAAAATAAGTGTCATCCTAGTGGATGGAAGTAAATAGACTCTGAGACCATAATCTCTGCCCTTATTTACTTTTGAAACCATAAATGCCCAGAAGGAAGCTTGTGATTTATTTATATACAGAAATCTCTATCTGCAATCACATATTGTTTTTAACATGTTTTTATTTCCATACATTCCATTGTAGCAATCTTCCGTCTTGAACCACCTTGGTCTTCTCTCTAAAAATGGGTTTCATCTCCATGGTGTTGTTGGCTACAGCCTTCAAGACTGTCTGTGTTTTCAAAATGACAGTGTGTTCCTTACCTGTTTTTTCCCAACAGAGTTCATCTGGAGATTTAATGATCAGAAACATTCAGCTGAAACACAGTGGAAAATATGTGTGTATGGTGCAGACGGGGGTGGACAGTGTTTCATCTGCCGCCGACCTCATAGTAAGAGGTAGATATGAATGCCTCAGTGGTTTTTTGTGTGTTTGTTTGTTTTACATTTCCACTAATAATTTCATACTGGAGGAAAAACCATGAGACCACATATGAGCATGTGAGTTATATTATTGATTTGATCCCCCCCCCAAATAGTCTATAGAGGATGTGACAATAAGGAGGGTGCTAATTCAACAAAATAAATATCTCAGCTCTGCCCTTCAAATAGCTCTCACTGTAATAAGCATTTCACAGCTGCTGCCAAGCTGATGTGTTTTTGAGCATGTCATTAATACAGCAACAGTGTTTAATATGAAAGGGAATAGTGATAGTGTGTATATGACAACTTCCAGAACACCAGGATCATCCAGAATGCCTGAGAGAATTTGCCAGTCTGAGCTACTGTCCAAGGTATTGCTTTGCTACTGGGCTGAAAAACGACCAGACGACATGATAGAATAAAACAACTCCAGCCAGCAAACTAGGAACTACAGATGTGCATCAGTTAATTAAAAGAAAAGAAATCATGCCAAAAGTAAAAGATGCAGAATTTGGAAAGGTGCAGGAATCCTACTGAACAGAGGCCTCAAAAAGCAAGTGTCATTTGCAGGCCTAGAATACTATGATTTTGAAATTACTGAATCACATCCAGATTGAATATCTAAAAGCAGAAATGTCAAAAAGAAAAAGTGGTTATTGTATTGCTAGGCAAATGCCCTTCTTCCCGAGTAGTTTTGAAATTAGGATCAGTTGTAGGTATTGAATGGATCATGTGACACATTCTTCACTTTGGTATAAAAGATGACATTTATGGAATTACTACCGAGTGTTTTCATTTTTGTTTTCCTTAGGTTCACCTGGACCACCAGAAAATGTGAAGGTAGATGAAATTACAGATACGACAGCCCAACTCTCTTGGAAAGAAGGTACAGATAACCACAGCCCAGTTATATCCTATTCTGTCCAGGCGAGGACCCCTTTCTCCGTGGGTTGGCAAACTGCCACAACAGGTAAAAGAAGAGAGTCAAATGCCATTGGTACATATAAATGGATTTTAAGTCAGCGCCAAGACATGCAGACTGTCACTTCTCTGATATATTCCTTTTTAGTGCCTGAAATCATTGATGGGAAAACACACACAGCTACTGTAGTCGAGTTAAATCCATGGGTGGAATATGAATTTCGGGTTGTAGCCAGCAACAAAATTGGAGGTGGAGAACCCAGTTTACCCTCAGAAAAAGTAAGAACTGAAGAGGCAGGTTAGTGTTTTTGTTTTCTGAGTAAAATGGGTTAATAGGGTGTGAATTTCCATTTCTCTTGGCACTGGTCTCCAGGCCAGCAGGGAATCAACCTCAAAAATCCATTATTGCAATTATCTGACCTATCTAATGGCAGAACTGGCCATATGGCATTTGTCAAAAGACACTCATATAAGTGATTCTAATGTAATGTGACATTTCCAAAAGTTCAGTCCATCATCAGCGTTTATTAGTGCATGTTGAGTGAATATGTTTTTGTCACTTAAGGTTATAATTACTATCTGACATAGTCACCCTGTTAACAAGGGAAATGCTGTTTTCATTTATAACAAGCATTGACAAATTGGTAGGATAATGACATTTGGGAGTTCTGCTGCTAGGAAATCTCATTTTGCCACCATGCTCCATGAATGAGCTCAAGTTACTGGTGATTAGGAATATTTTGACCCCTCAATGATTAAGAGAGAATCATTGTTAAAATTTTATATTTGGGGAAACTATTAGTATTAACCATAAGACTTCTTTTATAATATCCTAACATTGAAACTGGAAATTAGGAAGTGTACATAGTATCACATTATTGAGGCATTTGAGAGAATCAATAGACTTTCCTTTTCAGAATCTTTAATATTAATTAATACTAATTAAAAGGATGTTTGAAGTACAGCTCACATATCACTTTAGATACTAAGCCAAAATAGAAGTCAAGGAATACATTTCAGTAATTTTAATGATGTTTTTTTACTCAGGACAATGCATGTGACATTTCCAGCAGGAATTATGAGAAATAGGGGAACCTTGCTCATCTTTGTAGTCCATTTATTTATTCACACAACACATATTTTTTTTAATATTTATTTATTTACTTTGAGAGAGAGAGTGAACGAGCACGTGAGTAGGGGAAGGGCAGAGTGAGAGGGAGAGAATGAATGCCAAGCAGGCTCCACACTGTCAGTGCAAAGGTGGAGGCAGGGCTTGATCTTACAAACCATGAGATCATGACCTAAGCAGAAATCAAGAGTCAGACGCTTAGCCAACTGAACCACCCTGGTGCCCCCCACAACACATATTTAAGGAGTGTCTACTGTGTGCTCAGCATGTTCTAGATATGGTGGATACAGCTGGGAACAAAGACCACCTTCAGGGAACTTCTATTCTAGTTATGTCATAGAACGTAGGAAGCAGGAAGTTCTCAGTGTAAGTAAGGAATCTGACACCTGTGTGAGGTTTATAAAGAGCAGGTCTTAACAAGATTTGAGGATTTGAGTCTAGGTCATTTTTTTTTAGGTAAAGCCAATGTTGGCTCACCAGTTAGATCTCTACTGTGGAATATTCCCAAGTTAAATGTTGATGCTGGATTCATTTCCCATCATACCTAGTGAACCACTTTCCCCTGTTGTATTAACCTTTATACAGAGTCATTTTTTTCTTACTATTTGAGGTATTTTGAATCTTTGATAATTTCATGCAAATGTAAATTATTTGATCTCCCCAAAGATACACACACACACACACACACACACACACACACATTGCATATATGTTTTATATGATCCAGATACACACATACGCATATGTATAATGTGCCTGGGATCAGATTACTTCAACTGTTAGAAGTAAGCAACACTGGGGCGCTTGGGTGGCTCAGTCGGTTGAGTGGCCGACTTTGGCTCAGGTCATGATCTCGCGGTCCGTGAGTTTGAGCCCCATGTCGGCTCTGTGCTGACAGCTTGGAGCCTGGAGCCTGTTTCCGATTCTGTGTCTCCCTCTCTCTGACCCTCCCCCGTTCATGCTCTGTCTCTCTCTGTCTCAAAAATAAATAAACGTTAAAAAAAAGAAATAAAAGAAGCAGCACTGAATCTTCTTTCACGTAAGTGTCACCAAATGCAAATAGGGTTTTATCTCTGTGTCTCTAACCTACACAGTTCCAGAAGTGCCTCCTTCAGAAGTCAGTGGAGGAGGTGGGAGCCGGTCTGAGCTGGTGATAACCTGGGATGTAAGTGTCTGGGCACCATCCTCCCCCATGGGGGGTTGTTGTTCCCACCATGGCCTCCTGAGTGGCACTGGTGGTGGTACTGGAGGGAGTGGTAATGTTAGTAGCTTAAATTTTTGAATGCTTACTCTATGCTGATCACTGTTTCCAGCATTTTGTGTATGGTTTTGTTTTGTTTTGTTTTGTTTTCCATTTCACTCTTGGAACATTTTATAGATGAAAACACCAAGGCATAGAGAATATTAAATAATTTGCCCAGGGTCATTTGGCTGGTAAACATAGGGGTGAGAGTCAAGTCCTGGCTGTTTTCTCTCAAGCTGTCCTCACGGCTTTCCATGCAGCTGTAACCCCACTGACGCACACCCACTGATTCCAGCAGGTGCTTCCTTCCTGGCCATGCTCTCAGCTCTTGCTTTATGTTGTAATTAGGAAAAATTTTAATTAACACATTTGAAGTCAAAAAGCATGAGAATTGGCTGTGTTGTTTGAAGATGTTGATGAAAAACTAGAAAGTTAAGAGATCGTGATGGAGTGTCAGTAGGAATTTTTGACACGATCTAAACACAGCTTTGACCTTAATACACTGTTTTTTACTTTCTTTTTTTTTTTTTATAGTTTTACTCCTTTTGTATTTAACCATCTAATCAGTGGGCAATTTCTTTCCTTAGACTCAACATTAGGGATTAGATGATTTTTATTTGATTTAAGAGATGAGGTATATTCAACTAAAAGCGTATCTTATGATACATAAGTCACATTGGAGCTACAGAGTGCTCAAAAAGATTTGAATAACTTTAGCAAATTCTAATTAGTTATCTGGATGGCTATGAAAGAGTGGCATATGTCTGTTTAAAAGCAGCTGACTGTGCCACTGACCTTTTTCTCCTTTTTTTATATAACCGCTTAATACGATGTCAATTATTATTTGATGGCTTTTGCAAAAGAATAAGGATTATAGCTTCATTTATTTTTATCTCACTCTCATGTGTAAGGGTGATTTAATATGTCTTTCCTTTGTAGCCAGTCCCTGAAGAACTGCAGAATGGTGAAGGTTTTGGTTATGTTGTTGCTTTCCGTCCCCTTGGAGTTACCAACTGGATCCAGACAGTGGTTACATCTCCTGATACCCCAAGATATGTCTTTAGGAATGAAAGCATCGTGCCATTTTCACTGTATGAAGTTAAAGTGGGTGTTTATAATAACAAAGGCGAAGGACCATTTAGCCCGGTGACAACAGTGTTCTCTGCAGAAGAAGGTATGGAAAACATTTTGATTATATATCAGTTCCAACCTAATAAACCACTTATGCTCCAAAAACTGATTTGGAAGTTCTTTGTGACTTCAGATAAATTTCTTCCAAAGGATAATGACTGAAGTCACAGTGAGATTCACATTTCAGGTGGTAAACATCAACCATGCCTACTTGGAAGTACCAGACTCACTAGTCAGAGGATGTAACTATTGGCTAAAAATCTCTTGATGAGCTGGGGCACCTAAGTGGCTCAGGTGGTTAGGCAGCCACCTCTTGGTTTCTGATCACGTCATGATCTGATGGTTCGGGAGTTTGAGCCCTGAGTCAGGCTCCAACCTGACAGCATAGAGCCTGCTTGGGATTCTCTCTCCCTCTCTCTCTGCCCCTCCCCCACTGTCAAAGTAAATAACCCTTATAAAAATCTTGATGAAGAGTGCATTCAAGTCCCAGTTTGTGAAGCAAGAAACAACACAGTGTTCCACAACTTTCTTCTTTTGGGGATAAGATTAAGATATTCTCTTGGGAATGCCCTAATCTCAGGTTTTATAGTGTGTCCTGTGACCTGCAAATAGGATGTTAGCAGGGTGGACAGAGAGGACCGGAAGTGTGACATGGAGAGGTGTGCAATGTGCAGACTCGAGAATGTGATGCACCAGCTCCAGCCAGTCCACTCTGGACCCATTCCACTTCTCTGCCTTTCTTCTACACCTGCCCCAACTATGGTATCTCTTTAGAAAATAGTATTATTAGGAGAATCATATGAAATTGCCGTTTTATGGGACAAAAGCAGCTGAATATTGGCTCTCACATGGGGTTCTACTTAATAAGAATGACAGGAGCTAACATGTATTGAATACTTACCATCTGCCAGACTTTATCTAATTTGGATTTTCCAAGGAGGAATTACACATAGGCACTATTATTATTGTCCATTTATACATAAGAAAATGGAAATTTAATAAGAGAAATTCATAGACTTGCCACACTCCATACAGACTTGCTAAGCTAGTATTTTAACCCAGAGCCTTCGCTCTTAACCATTCTGAACTCATGAAATGTGATTATACAGTGTCTTCTCTACCCCCAGCACCTTGCAGTAAATTGAAAAACATGGTCCACAGTTGTTGTGTCTAAAATAATAAGAAGACTCAATTTTTTTTAATACCCCCGACACTATTCTTATCCTCTCTTTTTCTACAGAGTTTGGAGAGAAAAACAAACAGGTAGTATAAACTTTTGCAAAAAAAAAAAAAGAAAGAAAGAAAGCCTTCATATTAATAGCCAGACCCCATTTCCAAGAGTTGCCAAAGATTTTCATTACAAAGGCAGGGATCTGTGGAAAGATGGCAGTTAACCAGGGAGTTTTTCAGACACTGCCTACCATGTGCACCGTGGATTGGAAAGGCTGGCAGTTAGAAGGAGGGACAACTACAGACTTTCGCCCTCTCCTCCTCTGCCCTTTCCTCCTTCTGTTACTATTCTTGCCACTAATGATGAGTTCGGTAAAGGTCTTTCTATTTCAAACATCAGAAACACATTTGACTTATCTGTGAGAAAGGTAAGGGATTTGGTGGAAATGTACTAGGACTTATCCAATCAAAGTAAGTTTTAAATAGCACACCTCATAAAGATCATTAATCAGAGAAGCTCTGGGGCCTCAGAAACCATCTACCTCTGTAGGGTGTCACGCGTGGTTGACTGACCTCAAGTACTCCTTCCTTATTTGTCCAAACCAAATTTCGAATACTCAGGAGAAAAAAATCCAATAGGTCCTTCCTTGGACCAAGACTCTGTCTCACTATCAATAAGCATGGCCCAGAAGAAGGATCATTTAACACAGAAATGGATATCAGGGCAGGGGGAGCCTCTGCTCAGAGCTGTGCCCTGAGAGGAGAGAATCACTGTGAGCCCCTAAAGCTGCTAAGAGTTGTTTATTACAAAAGGATCTTTTTGTTGTGTTATAAGTTCTGTGCATGCCTGTCTACTCCTTCAGAACAGTGAACTCCTGGAAGTTGGCCCATCTTACTTGAGTGTGCCCCTGTTATGGGCCTTGAATACAGAAGGCACTCACTAAATGCTTATTGAATAAATGAACTCTGTAAAGCATGACTTTGTTTGGCAAAACATAATAAATAAATAAACAGACAGCCTTTGTGGGCATAGGAGTGCCCAAGCAAGAGCTGTGGGATGAAAGGGAGAGAACAAAGGAAAAGAAGGGAAGAAAAGGTACCAAGAAAAAAGTACAACAGAGGAAAGAACAGGTTCCTATGGCTGTTTAGCAAGGAAAAGCCCATTGACTCCCAAGGAATGGAAATAGACCAAGACATGGTTCATGTTTTCAACTAATTTTATAATCTACTTAGTTGAATTTTCAAATACATTACAGTACTTTTTTGAAAACAAAAGCTTCAATAGATTTTTGAATTAAGTACCAAAATAATAACTGTATTTCACTTTCTGTTGCCAAACAGAGCCTACAATAGCTCCATCTCAAGTGTCTGCAAATAGCCTGTCTTCCTCAGAAATTGAAGTGTCATGGAACACCATTCCTTGGAAGTTAAGCAATGGACATTTACTTGGCTATGAGGTAATTTCTTTTAAAACTAATTAGACTGTGTATGTATGTTGCTGTGGTACCTTGTCTCCTTTAATTTAAACTTCTTTTCAACAATGACATCTTAACTAAAGTCTGACTTTTATTGAAATTTTACCACCACATTGTCCCATGTGATTATCAGTGGATATTGAGTTTAACTCAACGAGTTGAATGAAAATAACTTGGGATAGAAAAGGAAAAAAAAAAACAGTAATATGGAAGGAGATCATATATCAATCAGATGGGCTAAATCTTTTAAATAGATTGCCTAGAAAATAAGAATGAGATTGAACTGCATTATTAAGTTCAAAGATATTTATGCCAACAGGAAAACTCTTTCCTCCAGCTCTTTGTCTTACTTTTTTGGTGGCCTTGTTACATTGCACTCTTTTAGGTTCTTGAGAAGATAGCTGTCTGTAACTTAATTCTTGCCTTCAGTCTGAGACCTAATTCTTACTTTCAAAGAACTCTGTTTGGGGGCACCTGGGATTAAACATCCAACTCTCGGTTTCAGCCTATGTTATGATCTCAAGATTTTGTGAGTTCGAACCCTGTGTTGGGCTCTGTGCTGACAATGCAGAGCCTGCTTAGGAATCTCTCTGTCTTTTTGCCCCACCCCACTCTCTCTCTCTCTCTTTCTCTCTCTCTCTCTCTCTCTCTCTCTCTCAAAATAAACTTAAACTTTAAAAAGGAAAAGTAAGCAGACACAGAGAAAATGGAAAACATTCCAGATTAAGGAAGGCATGTTGGAGAAGTAGAGGAGTAGAAACTCGCCTGCAGAAGAAAGTTCCTGTGGGAAGGACAACTACAGATAGACACAGGAGAGCCAGGCTCCAATGGCTTTGAATGTTGAGAAGAACCATCCAGACTGGGTGCCATGTTTAATAGGGAGCAATTGGAAGTGGGAGCAGTTGAGCTGAGAACTCACAAGATGAAAGGTCTTAAGACTTCTCTGACAGTGATATTCCAAGAGTTACAGTTATGATTTCATCCCGACCTACAGCCATCTTTTTTGGAAACTTCCCTCACATTTGTAACTCCTGATTCAGTGACAGGTTTTCACAGGCACATTTGCAACACAGGACCATAGACCCCACCACTTGCCTATGTAACCTCAAATTATTGCAACCACGGTGGCCATCAGATCCATAGACAGTTAAGCTGAGCTAGTCAGATTCTTATTTGATATGTTGCACTAAGCGATATAGAGATTGTAATCACTGAGTGTAATGCAGTGATATGTCGAATTTAGGACTCGGTTAAGGCTTCTCAAGTGAAGGCCGTGGGCAAGCAGGACAAAGCTGGTCTGCAGAGATGAGATGGAACAGACATATTCCCATACAGCTCCAGTGAATGGAGGAGACAGGGACCCGTGAAGGCTTAGAGAAAGCAACACAGAATACCTCTTTGACAATTGTGCAATTCCTAAGTCACCTCACTGTCTTCTTTTTCATAATGACACCTTGCCCTTCTTTTCAGTAAACTCCCTTTATATTTGAACTTAGAGAGTTTCTGTTTCTGGTAACCAAACATTGACTTGAATAAATATTAATGATAACATAGAGAAAAGGTAGACTAAAGCAGTGATGCTCTAAGAGGGCACCATGTGCTACCTGTACCAGAATTACACAAATTTTTGCTAAAGTTGAACCCCCAGAGCCCTCCCTGGACTCCCTGAACCCAAACATCTAGGAATGAGTCTTATTAATGTATATTTTTAGTAGGCATCCATAGGGAAATATCTTCTTGCCCCTTAAACACAGGACACTCAGGTCCTGACATGAAGAAACTTAATCAGAGACAGAGCTGCCCAGACTTAAAGAAGTAAAACCCCACACAGATACAGCAAACCAACTTTATCAGCATCTTAAAGGAAGCCAAGAACATTTAGTTGGAAAGTTCCTTTAATTCCAGGACAGTGAATGGAAGCACTGAAAGGTGGTGGGCAGCCCGTGGTAGCTCCCAAATGATTACAGCAATGGCATTGTTGGGACAGATAGGTCAGATGGAAGGAAATGCAAAGGAAAGTAGTTCTGAGCTCAAACCTGCGCTAAACCTTGACTCTGTCATTCCCTGGATGTGCTAGAAAAGTTGCATAAACTTTGTGAGCCTCATTTTCCTCACCTGCAGAATGGTGCAGTAGTTGGCTCAACCTCATTAGGATTTGGGGAGTATTGAATGATACTAGACACTTAATATGCTTTTCACAGTTTCTGGCTCATAATAATAAGCAACACGTAAGTACACGTCATATCTCAGAAGAATTTTGAAATATCAACTTATGGAATTTTCCCCAGTAAATATCCTCAAGCCGTTCTTCAACTCTAAGCTTCTTTGCCTCCAGAGAGTTTATGATGGTTGTCAAGAGAAGTTGCCTGTAAGAGCCCTTTCTTCCTAGCTTCCTAGATTCCAAAGCTCAAGCCCTTAAGGAGCTAGTTTCATATATCCTGGAGGGTAAGAAGAGAGAAATGCCACTGAGGAAAAAATACAAGAGAAATTTTGGGTGACCTTGGTGGAAACAAACATCTGAGGCTTATGGCCTCATAGCTTTCTATCTGGCAGTGTCCATGTTGGTAGCAAGACCACAAGGAGGGAACAGATGTATTTCCCATATGCAGCAATGATCACTGATTTCCCATTTTCCAAGCACCGTCCAGGAACTGACGGGATCAAACCAGTGTAATAGTAAGTTTTCTTGGCGAGGGTGTGGGAATAGGGACCCCCGCAGTGATTGAGGTTGAATTTCCCATTAGCTGAGTGGGATATGAAGCTCCATGGTTAAATCAAATTAACTTAAATAAAATTTAAGAAAAAAACATATTTTGCATGCCTAAAAAAGTAGATGGAGATACACATCCCCCATTCATAACTTTGTCATTTACAAACCATTACACAGGATCATAATTTGAGAGCTGGTTGTAGTTTGTGAAATAGTTAAGAGAAATAAGCAAGGGAATATGTGGAAATGGGCTTTGTGGGTTTTCAAGCACCACAGCAAAGCTAGCCGTTGCTGGCAATTGTTTGGCAGCATAGAGGCAGACAGATGTTAATTTTGCAATATATAAATTTAAGATGATAAGAATAGTCTATAAGAGGGGCGCCTGGTAAATAAACATTAAAAAAAATTTAAAAAGGGGTGTCTGGGTGGCTCAGTCGGTTGAGTGTCTGACTTCAGCTCAGGTCATGATCTCACAGTTCATGGGTTCGAGCCCTGCGTTGGGCTCTGTGATGACAACTCAGAGCCTGGAGCCTGCTTGGGATTCTGTGTCTCCCTCTCTCCCTGCCCCTCCCCGGCTCACACTCTGTCTCTGTCTCTCTGTCTCTCAAAAATAAATAAACATTAAAAAAATTTTTTTAAACAAAAAATAAAAAAGAGGGGTGCCTGGGTGCCTCAGTCAGTTAAGCATCGAGCTCTTGATTTCAGCTCAGGTCATGATCTCACACAGTCATGAGATTGAGCTCCACATCAGGCTATACACTGGGCGTGGAGCCTGCCTAAGATTCTTTCTCTCCCTCTCCCTCTCCCTCTGCCTCTGTCTCTCTCTTTCAAAAAACAAACAAAACAAAAAAAAAAAGAATATTCTATAAGAAAGCTGAAGCATACCTCTGTTGGTCATGTCAGGAAACAGAGAGTAATCGAATGAAAGAGAAAACCAAATAATGCAAGCAGAGCCAGCATAGTGTCTTACAAAGTCCACACCATCTTAGAATGAGACAGACTTGCATTCATCCCCACTCAGATCAAATGGAAGCTTCCATAAGGGACGTGGAACTCTGCTGGTTTATTCAGTGCCAAGAGTCCTATCTGGTACACAGGAGGCATGCAAACAATATGTGTTGATTAGATAAATGCAGTTTTGACTCCGCTCTCTTACTGCTGTGTGGCCTTGAACAAGTTATTAAAGCTCTCCAACGTTCAGTTAAAATAAAGATGGTAATAGTAAATAACATACTGCATCACTGGAGAATCAAATGAGATAAAGCCGCTACTGTCAAAATGGCCCAGAGAGACTTGGGCTTTTCTCTGTTTTGAGTATTGGTCATTGGGATGAGATTTCTTTGGGGGAAAAAGTTTGAAAAGCAGTGAAGAAATATGGAAACAAACACTTACACAGTGACTATTGTTTCTGTTGGTGCTGTTGTTGCCGTTGGGGTAGGAAGCAAAAAATGAGACAGGCAATGAGAAAATGGGACTTCCTTGAAATTAATTGTGAGTTGGGGTGCACTGGCTCTGCCCTGGGTATATAAAGAACAGCAGACCTAATATCCAAATGCGGCATGGATACGCATGTTGAAAGGAAACAACTAGTGAAAATGTCTTTCCCGAGTGCTTGTTAGGTAGGAAGGCAAAGAAAACAAACTAAGAGAAAGATAGACTAATCAGGAAAATCTTAAGAAATAATTTATATAGTTACACCAAGATAAGAATATATATTTTCTTAGGTTCAATAATGACTCAAGCACTAACATGGAGAGACAAACGACTTAGCAGAGTGTTTAATTACCAGTCATGTGGCTAACTTTCTGGGTTGCAGTTTCCCCAATATGGCTTTAAAATTGTTAATAGCTCCTGCTTTTCTCTCATCTCAGTGAGGGTTGATCATGTGCCACCTGGCATGCTGAGCACACATCATCATTAGCATCTAGACTAATTTTCTTTCTGATTTGACCAAGTAGTAGTTGAGGAGCTCATTTCCCTGGGCTCCAATTTATTTCATCTGCTAAGCTATAACACTCAGGCTCAGATCTTTTCTTGTGCCCTTTGGATAGGAACAAGAGATACAGATGTGATAAAGAGGATGCGGCATGTTTAAGTTCATGGGTAGCGGGTGCCGGAGGAGCAAAAGCTCCAAAGTTAGAGCATAATATATACCATCAGTTTCTTTAAAGCCATTATGTGTCTTGAAAAAATAAAAGTTGGGAGAATGACCTTAATAAGTGATTGAAACAGAAGTCTACAAGTGTGAAATAATACAGATTAGCGTATTTGG